ACACACACACACACACACACACACACACACACACACACACACACACAGCTGTTATTAAAATCAGAGGGTCAAAAGGTTAAATCCAAGGATGTGAGTGAAATAAATTCTTATAGAGCATTCTGTTTCATTCAGGAGTTTTATTTTTGTTTGTTTATTTAATAAAAATTAAAAACTTTAAATTCTAACATTCCTGAATGTAATGCATATCGTCCGCTGGCCTTCATGCCAGAGTTTTAGACTGAAGCGATTTAATGTTGTTAATGTTGAGAACGACTCTCAGCTACTACCACACCAAATTTTAGCTCCGTATTTGTGAAACGGACAGATTGACAGCTTTTCCGTGTTCTCTACAATTAGTTAGCTCTGGCAGCCATCTTGGATGTGGTTGACTTCAGAAGTCGAGCATTTGTAGAAATACATCCACTGATTGTTTTCTGAGAGTTTCACTAAAATCCATAGAGCAATTCCTGAGATATTTTGCTAACAGACAGACAAAATTGACTCCAAATATTCAATAGTCTTGTGCGATCTGTTAGCGCTCAGATTACTTGTTTGGGACGACTCTCAACTACTACCACACCAACATTCAGCTCAATATCTGTGAAACTGGCTGTGCTTTAGCCATTTTTGTGTCTCTAATGGACAGTTGGCTGTGGCGGCCATCTTGAATGAGGTTGACTCCAAAAGTTGAACAGTTGTGGATGAACATATAGTGATGACTTCCTGCCAGTCTCAATAACATTTGTCCAGTGGTTCATGAGAAATTTTGCTAACAGACAGAACGCATCCACACAAACATTGGCAAAAACGTTATTGTCCGGTCTTACAATAAAATTTGACCAAATTCTACTTTTTTTTTTTTTTCCCTGCGTTCCTCGACGGTCATTTGCTGTGCAGGTGAGGTAGGCCTCCACCTGAGCCGACAGCCAATCAGAGAGCCGCTCAGACCTCAACCCGCCAATCAGCGGCCGGCTCACCTCTTCACTCTTTGCTGTGCAAGAATTTATGCACAAAGTTAACGTGGGTGCTATAAACGCGGACATTACAACGCGCGGATATATGTTGATGTTTGTCCCCGATCCGCGTGCATGCAGAACGAGGAAGGCGATTGGCTGCGGCGGAGATAAAAGCGGTTTTACCTGGCAGGTGGAGGGAGGAGGAGGAGGGGCAGGGAGGAAAAAGAAGCGCGGCGAGAAAAAGTCGACTTACCTGTAGACCCACTTCTGGCAGCTCGCGCACTCCGGTACCTGCTCCGACTTGAAAGTCCAGTTTCACAAGGAAGAACCGTAGAGGAAGCAGAAAAATATGTCACAGGAGACAGACAAGTAAGTGCTCGAGCCGGAGGAGGACACGCGATGGTTCCGACTCGAAGGGACGAACTAGCTTTCTGTCACTGAATCTGTCGGAGGAAAAAACAGCTCCAATCAGCGCTTACATCATCAATTTACTACTAATATTAGACAAGTTCGGGTCCAGAGGAACTATTTTATATCAAACTCTGGCGGAGTTGGCCTCATTAGGGCGAAATTCGCCTCTTTTTTTTTTTATGAAAAGGGCATCAAATGTCGCGGATTGATTTTTGTCACCCCTTTGATGTGTTTTTAATTAAAAATTGGACTCTTGTCGTGATTATTATCTCGTTTAAAGGCGTCCAGTTGGCTTGTGGTTCCTTTTTCTAACATCCGAACCACGACGAATTATCGATAAATAAAATAACTAAACTGTTTTACAATATAGTTGCAGAAATATACGACTTGTACAAAATGTATAGTTCCATCATCGGATCATATATACGAGTAATTTAATTTCATAAATATATGCACATTTTAGAAGAAAAGTGGTTATTCCTTTGAATTCTTCCTTTTTTTGTGTAATTATTGGCGAAGGCGGAAAATAATGTATTTCTTGTTCCATGTCTGTTAGCAAAATTTCTCTTCATCCACTGGGCAGATGTAATACAACTTTGGAGTCAGCCTGGTTCAAAATGGCCACCACAGCCAATTTGCCTTAAGCGTTTATAATTAAAATCGGTTTTGCAGGTAATTGTTGGCATCTTGATCCCCAACCTGTATTTTGAGCACTAAATGATTGCTCAAGATCTTTATCTAAAATCTTTGCTGTCAACTAGTTGGAGTGTTATATTTCTGTTAGCAAAATATCCAATGAACCACCAGACAGATTTTAGCATGAAAAAACAAACTTGGATGTACATTTAAAACTGAGTAACTTTGGGAGCCCACTCAATTCAAGATGGCCGCCACAGCCAAATGACAAAAGAAAACAACAATGGCTCAAGCTAATTTTTAAACCTCAACCAGAAGCTGTAACGAATTCCTGTAACGCTATAGATAAATAAATAAATCGCCACACAAGAGCAGTTTAGTCATTTTTATTTACTAAAACCACTTCACGCCAAATCAGTTTATTCCTGAAAAGCTACTTAAATTTTAAGATTTTAATAAATGTTCACTGGCTCAAATATGTTTATTATTTTCTGATGATCCATAGTTAAAAGTTTGTGCTGTAACTACACAGTTGAGAAGTAAAATTGCATGAGGTGATGTTGATTGTTGCACAAGTTCAAGTTGACTCGCTCCAAGCCCGTCCTCCGATTGGCCTAGCTGAAGGAGATGTTGTGGCAACACGTGTGTTTGTCTAGTCTGTGATCTGCACTTAAGTGGGACTAAATGAGCGATCGGTACGACAAAACACGAGCGTGAAAACTGACGAGTGTGAAAGCTGTGACAGATTATCAGCTAATCTTGGAGGAGTTTCCTGGAATAAATACTCCTACAGAACCACTTTCAAATGCAGTAATAAGTAAAGTAGTAAAATAAACTCCAATCTGCAGATAAATTAGTTTTTTATGTGACCTGAAAGAGATGGATGAAATCTTTTGAAGTGGGTTTCTGTGTAAAGGTTGTGAACAAAGAATATCTTACCTGTTGTGCATAGCTCATTGAATAACCTGTTTGGAGGATTTTTAATGCGTTTCTGACCAGCCTGACAAGCTAATGGCTAGTCTGATCAGTCCAAGACCAAAATAACTTTATTCTCGAAAAAAAATCCTTGTGCAAACAATAAATTTAAACATTTTACATTTTTGTTAAATTTGCTTTTGCCATAATTTTATGGATTTCCACATTTATTTGCAAGTGCAAACAGCGTTAGCAGCAGCTAGCTAACAGGTTGTGGCGGGAATCGCATAATGTTTTTGCCAAAATAACTGAGAAATGCAAAACTGGCGTTAGAATAATTAGTAAAATTTTATAATGAAAAAACTAAGCATTTATATTGCCATACTTTTGCATTTAAGTTATTTACCTTGGTTTTTATGGGTATTTGTACGCGCAACTAGCGCTAGCAGCAGCTAGCAAGAACATCATGACGATTCTGCCAAAATAACTAAATTCCAAAACTGCAATAGTATATTTAGTCAACTGAGGAAAAAATATGTTTAAACATTTAAATTCGTTTTTGCAGTTGAAGTTATTTACATAGATTTTTGTGGTTATTTGCAGGTACCAATTAGTAGCAGCGTCTAGCTAGCTTGCAGGTTGTGGCAGAAATTTAATTATTCCTGCCAAAACCATTGAAATGCAAAACTGATGTTGGTGAAATTAGTAAAATTTATATTATAGCATTGAAAAGACTGAAGCATTCATATTGCTGTTACATTTGACATTATTTAAGTTAATGTTATCTGAATTCAAAAAGGTGTAAGACAAAAACAGCTGGACTTTATTTTGTAGCAGAAGACGTTTCGCTTCTCATCCTAGGAGCTTTCTCAATTCAAAGAACAGAGTGTGGGGTTCGAGTTATAAAGCTGAGTTAATAGATACATATGCAGATTGCCCAATCACTCCTCACAATAGAGGTTCGTTAGGGTTTTTGTTAGTCTGACTCACAGATGAGCCACTCTGGTCACATGGATGAAATTGTGACCAGAGTGGCACCAATCCACTTTAAACAAATTTCTGTCAGCTTTTGTTTAAGTGACCTCAGTTCAGACTGATGGGCTGAGGTCACTTAAAGAGCTATTTTCCAACAGGTATCCTGATGCATGCTCAATAATCCAGGTAGAAAAGTCTAACAAAGTAAAGTCAGGTCCTCTGGACGGATTCTTCTTGTTGAAATGTTTTGTGTTTTATTCAAAAGGCTTCGTCAGTCTGAGGGGCTGCAGTAAACTCAATAATCTTATAAATGGCACCTTCTCATCGTGGATCAACCAGTTAGTTGTTGACATTCAGAACTAGCTGTTCACATGATAAAGGAGGAACATCAGCCTAACAATTGGTCGTTAGTGCCCTGATGGCTGTTTGTTGCTTGGTTGTCCTCAGGCTGTTTCTGTGAGTAGCAAGTTTGCCATCTGGCCTAAAACATTTGATTGTTGTTCATGATGATTGATTGTTTTGGATGGGTGTGTTTTGCACATGTTAAAAGCCTACTTTTGAGATTCCAGCAGGAGATTGGCTTGAAACACAGCAGTGAAGGGGCTACCTATGGGACCATAATTGCTAAGTGCGCTTATTATAAGCGACTTTGGGCTTGTTTTTTTTTTCTAAAGTCGCTTGCAAATCTTGTGAGTCGCGGTTTTCGGGCTTGTTTTGAACGTGAAGTTGCTTATTTGGGCTTGATTTTCTTTCCGAGTGAAACTAGTTATCTCCCAGCTCTGCACAATAAAGCAAAAGACGAGTGGCATTAGTTAGTTTGTCCCTTCCACGCCCCCGTTTCCTGTTTATCTCTCCCGCCCGACAGGCGCACAGATACGTCTGTGGGCGCACACCCCAAACACAGCTGAGTGAAGCTGACACCCCACCCACTTCCAAAATTAAAGCAACTAGTCTGAATGGTTAGTGCTCCGTTAGTGCTGGTTTGTGCCGTTAAAATTTTCGTTAGTGCTGCTTTGCTTTCTGAGATATTAAAGATTAATTTTTAGCTCATCCAAAGGTCACAATCCCCCCATGTTGCTCCAAAACACACGGGAGTGGTCTACTTTTTTAGTGCTTCGTTAGTGCTTCGTTAGTGCTTCGTTAGTGCTCGTTTGTTCCGGTGAAACTAGCGTTTGTGCTGCTTTAGTTTATGAGATATTAAGAATTATAATTTCGCCCGATGACGTCACCATCCCCCCCATGTTGCTCCGAAACGGACGGGAGTGGTGACGTCATCGGGCGAAATTATAATTCTTAATATCTCATAAACTAAAGCTGCACAAACGCTAGTTTCACCGGAACAAACGAGCACTAACGAAGCACTAACGAAGCACTAACGAAGCACTAAAAAAGTAGACCACTCCCGTGTGTTTTGGAGCAACATGGGGGGATTGTGACCTTTGGATGAGCTAAAAATTAATCTTTAATATCTCAGAAAGCAAAGCAGCACTAACGAAAATTTTAACGGCACAAACCAGCACTAACGGAGCACTAACCATTCAGACTAGTTGCTTTAATTTTGGAAGTGGGTGGGGTGTCAGCTTCACTCAGCTCCCAAACACTCATACTGTGTCCGAGCAGTTCCACTCACACACAGTTGTCAAGATGTTTTGTTTTTAAGACTGTAGAAAAAATGACATATGCAAAATGTTTTTTTTTATTTTTTATCAGAGCTTAAAAGTATGTTATTCAAAGTGTTCAGCACAATTTTGCCGTTGTTTATATGTAAAGGGGCTGAAATGGTGTAGGGGCAGGGCAGACGACTCAGGACCCGTAGGTCCTGGGCTCGATCCCCGGTCATTGCACATCTCGTGGTGTCTCTGAGCAGGACACCCAATCCCAAATTGCTTCCCAGGCGCCTGCATAGCTGCCCACTGCTCCACCTGGGTGTATCCCAGGTGCGATGGGCTAACTGCAGAGAGCCAATTTTGTCTTTGTATGGGACAATGATGACAACACATAGCACTTTATTTATTATTAATGCCATAATAAATGTATGTTTATACTGTTTAAAAACAGCCTGTTTTACACAGTGTGGTTTGTTGCCAGTTGGGCTTGTTTTGAGCTTGTTTTCATAGAGCAGGTTGCTTGTTTCTACCGCGAGATCTGGCAACACTGTATGGGACAGATCTGGTTGGCAGGCCGTAGACTGACGAAGTCCTCTGGATGGGGGACGAAACGTTTCTCACTTAAAGAAACTGGTCCAGAAGACACGAGTTAACCTTTTTTTGTTATCTACCTGGATGGCTTACAGCCTTTCCTTTGTGCTCTTGTTCCTTCCAGTAAACGTTTAGTGGTGGTCGTTCCCAACGAGAACTCCTTCCCTGCGGTGCGGCGAGCTTACACCAGCGAGGATGAGGCGTGGAGGTCGTACCTGGAGAACCCACTGACGGCCGCCACCAAGGCCATGATGAGCATAAACGGGGACGAGGACAGCGCCAACGCCCTGGGCCTGCTGTACGACTACTACAAGGTTCAGACAAAACTCACGTCTTTCTCACAAAAAATCCCTGCATCAGTCTCTCAGTGGACGACTTGTAATTATGACTAATATGGGTTTTAATTTAAAAATTGGATGGGAAATTTAATAATTCAGTACAAACTGGCTCAAGAAAACCTTATGTCTAATAAAAACATTCACAGTATGTTGTCTCGTCTTTAGAGGCACCAGTTCAAAGAATGACAAATGACAACAAAAACTGGAGTGACCTTTCCTTCTGTCTGATGTTGATCGTCTCCCTCTTTTTGCTTCTTTCAGGTGCCCAAAGAAAAGAGACTTTTGCCAATTCCTAAAGTCGCCGAACTTGCAGAGGAACAGGAGAAGAGGTCCGTCAATTTGAGATTCTCTCCGTATCTAATTTGAAGACAAAAGAAATGCAGGAAGAAGCATGAAAATAGGGTTAATCTCTGCAGCGTGTGATACCAAATCTCTGAGCATGAGTTAATGAGGTGGTGTGTAAAACGGTTTCAGGATTTTAAGAAGTGGAGCAGCACAGAATGAACCATTTAGAGCTTTAGGTCAAATGTACAACAAATACCATGGATGAGTGAGTCTTGTTTCAATATAACTTCAAATACAAACTATTTTGTTATCAAATATGCTTTTAATGTTTTTCATTGACTTATCTACTTTTACGTGTGGAGAAAATAAACTTGTCCTTATCTTTGCTTTGTAAATTACTCGCTAGAGTTAGAGCTACTTCTTTAGTGTTGACTTGCATTTTATTTTGTTGTGCATGTACAATGCATCCTAATATTTCAAGACAAACAATACAAATAACTTCTCAGAGAGCCTTTGTGTTTTTAACTTTAATTGTTGTTAGAGAAGGTAGATGTCAGTGTCAGTATTTGACTAAAAGCTTTTTTTTTTTTTAACGTCAAGAGGAAATGACCAATTTAGTCCCAATGAAGTTTAATGTTTTGTTTTTTTTAACTCAGGCCTATTTTGCCAAGTAACCCCAGCAGCCAAAATGAGGCAGAGACTGTGGACAACCGTGTCCAGGTCCTCAAGTCTGTCCCCGTCAACATGTCCCTGATCACGGAGCAGAAGGAGGCCAAACGAGAACTGATTTGCAGCTCGACGGCGGGGGAGAGTTCAGCCGACGGAGGCTCTCCAGCTGCGGCGGTGGTGAAGGCCGAGGTGTACGCTCCTGTCTTCATGGTGGGAGCTGGACTCCCTTACAGGGTGGAAGGAGAGGAGCGGCTGGTTTACGAGCAGAGTCCGTACGAGCTGACCGCCGTCGGCCACGGCTCCTACGTGAAGGACAAGCCGAGTCCACCCGACAGCCCGTATGAGGAGGACACAGACAGGGTGAGATGGGACATAAAGTCAACAAGTAATGTGAAGTTACACATCAGTACAAACCCCCCACAAAATGTTGCCTTTATTCATCTAGAATATCTACCAGAGTGTTTAGACAATTAAAGATTCAGGTCACCAAAGATCCACATGTAAACATAAACAACTCTTTGGGAAATGCAGTAAAATAAGAAATGCATTCGATAAAAAACGAATAAACATGGCACCTTGTGACTAAACATCACATGCTGATATCAACTAGAGTACATTGCAAGCATTTAATGTAAATTTAATGGAACAAGACAACAACAAAGTTTGTTTTTTGACTCGTTTGCAGCATTGTTTATTCAGTTCCTCTCATGCTGGATGAATTCTTCATCAATAATTTCCTCTTTTTGTGTATTTTGAACAGAAGTACCACTCGCCTTCCTCTCTTGCTCCGGACGACTTTGTATTTCAACAAGAGGGGGCGTAAGTCGCTCCGTTTCTCGCCAGGTTTTAAATCTAAACGGGCTGATATGACAAGAAAGCCACGTTGTCGTCTTTCTCATCTTCGTGTCACGTCTCTCTCAATGTTTGCAGTGACACCTTTCAGTACACTCTGGATGCGACCCGTTCGCTGCGTCAGAAGCAGGGGGAAGGACCGATGACCTACCTGAACAAAGGCCAGTTTTACGCCGTGACGCTCAGCGAGCTCAGCGCCAACAAACGCCTGCGTCACCCCATCAGTAAAGTCCGGGTGAGCGCCCGATTTTCCATCCTGTCCTCAATTTAAATAATTTTCATGTTTTTCCCACAACTCTAAGCCTCAATATTCCCCAATAGTTTGCAAGTTTACGTTTTTTTTTTTTACATTTGAAACTGCAGTTACACAAAATAAGTAACATGAAAAGATAAGCTGGGCATTTAAAACAGCCTAAAGCTGCTTGCTCTGACGTTACACCCAGCAGTTAGACACTTTAATCTTTATACTCGCTGCAGGCAGCTGTCTTCAGCACAAATTCAATTCAGTTCAGTTTATTTATGAAGCGCCAAGTCACAACAAAAGTCGCCTCAGGGCACTGAACAGAACCATTCATATACATTAAAAGTGAGTTAATAACTTTATTTATCTGAGGAGCAGACTGCTTTGAGTTTAACTTCATCGCAGACTCTCATCTTGAGCAAGCATGAAGGCGACAGTGGAAAGGAAAAACTCCCTCATGATGAAGAAACCTTAGGCAGAACCAGACTCAGGACAAGTGGCCATCTGCTTCAAATGGCTGAGTTTGAGAGGAACAGATACACAATGGCAGGGCCAGAATCACATGTTAAGATAGAAATAGTATCAAATGAAAACTTAAATGGTAACAATTGATTTAAGGAAATAAGGTCAATTTGTCCTCCAGTAGTCTAAGCTTAAGGCAGCATAACAAGCCGACCCTAACTATAGGATTTATCAAAAAGGAAAGTCTTAAGCCCAGTTTTAAAACTGGACAATGTGTCAGCCTCATGGACAGAAACTAGAAATTGGTTCCACAAGAGAGGAGCCTGATAACTGAAAGATCTACCTCCCATTCTGCTTAGAAACTCTAGGAACCACGAGTAAGCCTGCAGTCTGTGAGTCAAGTGCTCTGTTAGGAAAATATGGAACAATAAGATCTTTAATATAAGGTGGAGCTAGGTTGTTGAGAGCTTTGTAGGTTAGAAGTAAGATTTTGAATTCTATTCTGGATTTGACAGGAGCTAATGGAGAGAAGCCAAAACTGGAGAGATATGATCTCTCCTACTAACTCCAGTTCTAGTAACGTTTTTAATGTGGGGGATAAAAGACATATCCTGATCAAAAATAACATGAAGATTTTTAACATTAGAGCTGGAGGCCAGATTAATGCCATCTAAGGAGGGAGAAAGACTGAAAAATTAATTCCTTAGATGCTCAGGTCCAAAAACTAAAACTTCAGTCTTGCCTGTGTTCAAAAACAGAACATTTAGGGTCATCCAGATTTTTTTGTCTTTTAAGACATGCTTGTAGTCTAAGTAGCTGATTGGATTCATTGTGTTTCATGGACAAATATAACTGTGTATTATCAACATAACAATGAAAGTCCATCCCATGCTGTTTAATAACTTTAACTAATGGAAGCATAAATAAGATAGAGTATTGGTCCAAGCACTGAACCCTGAGGAACTCCATAACTGACTTTGGTGTATGAAGATTCATTATTTACATTTACAAATTGGAATCTTTCAGATAAATGCAATTTAAACAATTTTAGAGCCATTCCTGTAATCCCAATATCACATTCAAGTCTCTGTTGTAGAATATTATGATCAACTGTATCAAATGCAGCGCTGAGATCTAACAGGACCAGTATAGACACCTCTTTATTATCAGAGGCCACAAATGCTTGAAAATCTTCAAAGAAGTAGTTAGTAACCAGTGCAGCTCAACTATTATCAACCAGTACCTAAAGCATTTCTTCTCTTATTCTTTTAATTCATATATACAGTATGAATGGTACATCAATAATATTAGTGTGTGCTAACTGTACTAAAGAAGTGTGTGGTTACTTAGCTTAATTAGATAGTTGATTATCCAGGTTTAGCTCCTCCTGCCCCCCCCCCCCCCCCCCCCCACACACACACACACACACACACACACACTTTTTTAGAAGTTTGAGGCGGCAAAAATAAATAAATGTTATTTTTCAACATTAGCTAAGTTTGTGAAGAGTTAGAAATGAAGCCACACCATTAAATAATGTCTAAAGGTGTAAAAATAAAATCAAATAATTAAGAGATCTTAAATAAAACTGAGCAAGAAACTACAAAAGAAAAAAATACTAAAAACTGCACATTTGCTATATCTGCACATGTATAGCAAAGATGTAAAGCCAGAGCTGGTAGATTATGGTTAAAAAGTGACGTTTTGGGTTTAATTTGTTACCATTTATGATGCGGCTCTTCGTTTTAATCCTCACTGTTTTCACCTGGTTCAGTCTGAAATTCAAGCTTTTTTTTCCCCAGAGTTAGGCTTTCACATCTGTCTATTTTATTAGCTTTAACAGTACTAAATTTAGGTCGTTTTTAAAAATAACAAGAATAAAGCTGTTGGCTCGACACTTACATCAGAGGTGTAAAATACTGAAACAGTCCTTCCAGTCTGAGCTGAAATAAGACAAGTTTGCTTACATTAGATAAACAAATGTGTTATTTACTCGTGGTTTTCAAGCCGTTACATCCATTAAGGATTTAATAGTTTCTATTTAATGTTGTCTTCGACATTTAGGGCCTTTCTCAGTGCAGGCCTTCTGCAAGGATCATCTTTATTATAATTTGTCAGACTTTTATTATTATTTTGAAATAATTTCTGGTATCACCAGTAGTGATATCGCCTAAAAGAGACCAGAATCTAATGGGCTTTTATGCTACAGATGCCATTTAACTGACTGCATCTCTGTTTGTACATGGTTCATGTAGTTTGTCATGTTTTATTTTTTTTAATGACAACTTAAGGTTTCATTATATATCATTAAACCCTGGTGATAAAACTCTTAATATCTTGTTTTTTTGTCAAGCCAGAGTCGTAAACTACAGACACATACGTCTTCATATTTGAATGTATTTATTTAGACGTTTCTCTGGATTCTTCTTGTTCTCAGAGCGTAGTCATGGTGGTGTTCAGCGAGGACAAGAACCGGGACGAGCAGCTCAAATACTGGAAGTACTGGCACTCCCGGCAGCACACGGCCAGACAGCGAGTGCTGGACATCGGTAAGGTGTTCTCCCGCTCATTTTCTTCTGGACTCGTTTTCCAAAGCTTGATTGAACTCCGGCGGCTCACAAAGATGACAGATTTGTGTTGGAATGTGCTCAGCGAGGAACCAAAGCATTTCCAAACTGAAGGCAAACAAGCCTCCGCCCAGCTGCGTGCTGCTCAGGTGCCCCTCTCAGACAGACAGGGATGTCCTGCACCCACACATCTGAGTCTGTCAAGGTGCTTCTGGGACACATCGCAAATCGTTGTTAAAAACACGACGAGCCGCGCCTTTCTTTTTTTGCAGCATTTCACACATACATGCTCCGATACGAAAGGCCCCCCCTCAATGTTTCACCTTCGATTTCGGTCGACGCGCTTTGAGTTGTGACTGACTTTTCTCTCATGTGAGAATCTTTTGGGCCGTTTGTGTGCGACAAGCTCGGACCTGCTGGGCAGGCAAGGACTCGGAGGTATGTGGGAGACTGGAAACGTGATGCACACAAACAGACTCGCAGCAACACACACACACCTTCGAGCAGCTTGTCGGGACAGGGAGAGGAATGCTAGCCACAGTGTTACCTCAATGGTCTGTTGAAAGTCATTTTCCCCCCAGTTTAGATTTCCATCTTAATTCTTATGTTTGCACGAATCCAGACAACTCCTAATCATCCTCAAATTCTCACGTATCTTTATATCTCTTGTATCCAAGGAGGGCATCCTGGAACAGATTCAAGGGAGGATATTGCTGCAGGTCTTGTTATAGATCCATCAGGGTGGTGTTGGTTAAACACTGGGCCAAACTAAAAAGTGTTAAGACTTGGTCAAATGAGACTGAAGCTTGTCCGACCAGATTATGGGCATAGCTGAGGCATCCTACAGGTTTGAGTGATTTCACCTGAATTTAGGTTATAAATTATTAGGAATTATCAGAATTAATGTGGTTCAATCTTCAGCCAAAGTTACAATCCAAGGTTAGAAACTTTCTGGGCAGGAATTTCTCCAAACAAATAGAAACATAAAACTCAAGTGCCTCCTGCATGAACACTTACCATATTTTTTGGCCTACAAGTCACATTTTTTTGCATAATTTACACGCCCTGTGATTTATAAGCCAAAGTGACATATTTATGGATTTTTCCCCATATTTATAAACCAATTTTTGGCTGAAATATGACCGTTTTCATTCATTCCGACTGAAAAACCAACCAACAAACAAACAAAATTTTGAATAGTACCATTTTCAGCCACTAGATGGCAGCAGAGTAGTAAGGCATCCCGTTGTATCATGTAATAGGTAAACGTGGCTATAATGACAAATTAAAAAAAGTTCAAGACAAAAACAACTGGACTTATTTATTTATTTATTATACTTTTTTTTTCCTTGAACTTTTTTGAATTTACTATGTCCTGGATGACTGAGAATCTTCACCAGCTATTAATGGCACAATCAGCTTGCCATACTCCACCCACCTTTATTCTGCACGCTGCTTGGAGCAAGTTCATCCAGCTGCACCGCCCCGGCGAAATGCAGCTAATTTGACAATTAAAGTGCATTTATTACGTAAAAGTTAGACTGAGACACTCCTTTGCTATAATTTTGAGCAAACAAATAATTGTTTTTTGTGTTTATTCTGGTTAAATTCTTGTTAAAGTCCTCCCATGCATGCTCCCACGGCTGCCATTTAGCAGCCCATTGATTTTTGGCACAACACCGGCCCACATTTCTGGGCTGTCAGCGGCGATGCGTAACAAATGGCGCGTCAGTGGTGATGCATAATAGATGCGACTCATACAGCGAAGTGACATATTTATGGATTGTCCCACTTTTTTAGGCCTATCTGGAATGATGCGACGTATAGGGCGGTGCGACGTGTACGGCGGAAAATACATTTTACAAAGTAGGAATTGGATAAAATGTGTCTCTTAGGACTTGTTTACATGTGAATAATCTCTGGCAACGTTTCGATTGTTGATTGTGGAAACGACACAGCGACACGAGACACAGTGGCTACACAAAACGTTTGTTTGGACCTAGGATGGTTGGGTTGCTCCTTGAAAAGGCTGAAATGGCACTCTGCTGTCTGCCATTGTTACTGTTGTTCATCTGCTCATGCAGAGAAACTCTTGACTGCGGCCATCGTTGCCAGACGTTTCAAAAAACCTCCCCTCTGTTGTTGTGACCACGAACATCCAAAGCTCAACAGAAACGCTACGGTTTCACTTAAAAACAGCGCCAACATGACCAATGCGTCCTCTTGTTGTCTTATTTAACTCTACGGTGTTAACAGTCTCAGAATTGTGATAAAAATAACAAACCGAAGCAGAACAAAACAGCAGAGTTCTGACAGGGAGCTTATTTCTGAATGTAGCTTTTTTTAAAAAGCTGCTTAAAATAGTCCAGCGATTCAGATAAGGGATCAGAGATGTGGTTCCAGGGAGCTGAGGTCTCCTCTTGTTGTGTAGAAACATTGTGGGATAGATTAAAGCTTTGATTATTGAAATAAGACGCATTTTATTGATGGTTTTGTGCCACTTCACCACCCCATAAACACAAATATTGATCAACTGGAAGATGCAAAAGCAGCTTGTATGCGAGAATAAACTCAGCGACCGCTCCGCGTGTTCGTAAATGTCATGAAAAGTGGAAGGTTTTGTGCGTCATCGATTCAGATCGTCAGTAACTCTGACTCAGAAGATGAGCAGACCACATTTAATGAGCAAAGATGAAGTTCCTCCAGCTTACTGCAGTTTTTTTGACGCCACCTCTCGTTTTTTTCTCAACATCTGCAACATTTAGTCTGTGAATGTTTTTTAATACGCTTCTACAGGTTGGTGCCGCGTTATGAAGTGTGACGCCTTTTTTTTTTTTAAAGAAAAACATTGCTCCGACTTCCTGTTTGCAAGTGTAATGAGTCTGTTTGTGTTTATAAGTGAGATGTTGAGCTAGGTGATATTTCCAAATTACTGATTCATTCACTTGATCTTCACACGAGCGCGCACGCTACATCTGGGTCACCTTGTAGTTGGTTTGAAGAAACCCAGAGTCCTGTTAGGAAAAACAGTGAAACCTGGCGCATCGTTTACCCCTGGGCTGCGTTGCAGGGTCATTTGAATGGCGTTATTTACTCGGGGTGGTGGTGCTAGCACAAAGGCATGCTGCAGCCTGTCCAGCTGCTTTGTGCACCTGCTGAGGAACCAGGAAGTGTCGACGCGATGGCGGTTAGGATAATGGAGGACGCTCTGATCTTTGTCCATCCAGGTCTGGTGTAAACCGAGACCAAACGTGTGGACAAGCTACTTTGTGAAAACTAGCATTGTTTGTCTACAGATGTTTGCATGTTTTTTACTAATTCCATAAAAAGAAACGCCATATGAATCACAACTTTCTTGTTCGAACCAACAAAACGGCTTCAAATGTCCCAAGGACCCCTAAAATAGCCATTTATTTATGATTTATCACTTTACTTTTTTGTAGGATCGTATGCGTTTTATAGATTAGATGGTTGTCAAGTGATGAGCACAAGTTATTTGTTTGTTTAACTGCTTATGAATATAAATACTTCCCTAATAAGATAATGAATGTGTTTTGTTATGCGTTTGATTGTCTGATGTTTACTATTTACATCTTTTTTTATTATTTTTTAGACTAAATGGTTGTCAGATGATTGTTTTTGTTTAGTGGAGTCTCCCATGTTTGGCAGGGTCAGAGGTCAGCAAAAGCAAACCGATGCACTCACCTGGATCGTCTTTATTTCACCCCCCTCCCCCCCCAGGTTTTCCTCTTTCTCCCTTTGAAGCCAAAGAGTGTGTTTGCTCAAGCAGATAAGACTTTATTGTCTAAAATTGAAGTGTGCCAAACGATGGCTTATCTTAACAACAGCTACCAGCTTTTTTATGATTTTATTTTTTTATTATTGTCTAATTTGTCCCGCCCTTTCAGGAAGGGAGCTTCATTCTTGTTTGAGCCCATGTAGACGATGGATTTTTAAGTTTTTCACTCTCCCTTCTCTCCTCTCAGCGGATTACAAGGAGAGCTTCAACACGATCAGCAACATCGAAGAGATCGCCTACAACGCCATCTCCTTCACCTGGGACGTGAACGAAGAGGCCAAGGTACACGGGGTTAACGTTACACTGTGTTTCTGCACGCAGGAGTTAAATGTCATTGTAGTTTTCCCAGAAACTAGTGCGCTGTATTTACTCTCGCCGGAGGCGTGTTGTTCAAAAGCAGCAGGACTAGTTTTTTTTTTTTTTTTTTGTGCTGATTCATAAGTTGCCAAACAAATGACGAATTAACCGGTTTTTCAAAAGTGATGCAATCGTTCAGCCGGTAGACGCCTCAACCGCTCCGGAGCTCGCCATAATATCAAAAATTAAAGCCTTTAATGCCACAGACGGCTAAAAGCTGCACGTTCACCACGGTTGGTGTTTTTTTTTTTTTTTTTTTAAACGGTGTGTCATAAAAAAGTTAAGTGGAGCCCCGCCGGTGTTTAAACTTCAGCGTGCCCCCACAGCGGTGCCTTTCCCCACCCTCTCGTGTTTGTTTTGCCCTCATTTCTGTGTGAACACGAGTGACCGTGTGTGTCTTTGGTGTGTGAGAGGCTTTTTCTTTGCAAATCTAGACAAAGACGTTGCAGCACGAGAAAAAAAAATAGTCCAATAGGAGTTTTGGTACAAGAAAGAACTTGCTTTATTCTTTTTTTTCTCAGTTTTTTAAATTAGTTTTAGTAATAGTTGGGTGTGGATATTCCTGCTGAATCACAAAAACAGGTGTAATACCAAAGTAATTTAAATAGACTTTAGATTTTTCTAATTTTCTTAAGCTTAAAAAATACATTTTATAGCCTTGTGTTAAGAAGGAAAACAGGGATTCTCCGTAAAAGTCCTATAAATAGAAAAGAAAAACAGATTTATCAATGAAATTAGATAAATGGACTGTACTTGTACAGCACCTTTCTATCTTATCAAGAAACCTCTGTACAATCTGTGCCCTCATTTACCCATTCATACAGCACTCTACTATATCTTTACAAAGAATAATCAGTGCTTTATCACATTCATACATCGATGGGACACACCTCAGAGTCAATAAAGGGTTCAGTGTCTTGCCCAAGGACACTTCAACATGTGACTGCAGGTGGAATCAAACCCCCAACTCTCACATTGAAGGACAACCGCTCTAACCACTCAGCCACAGCTTCCCTGAAATTAGGAAAGTAAAGGGAGCAAAACGCATTCCAGACGTATTTATCAAAGACCAAAATATCATACATGTATTTTCCTTTATATCTTCACCAGGAGACATTACATAAGTTAAATTTGTGAATGTGTATTCACTTTAGATGTTTTAATAAAGTGTGCATATACTCGCAGTTTATTTTACTTAAAAATAATGAATCTTAACCACACAACCCCACCTCAAAAGCTCTGAACAGGGCCGTTGAATTTATTGTGTGTTATTCACAGAATTCGTCAACTTCCTTGTTTTTTCTTGCTGTCTTGCCTCCTAACGTGGCAGCACAGGGGTAGGAACACATATTCAAGATTTACACTTAATTATTTTCTGCGTTATTGTTTAGTTTTATAATAAATAGTTCAGATGGCTCTTTTGGTTAAAAAATTTAAAGTACAGTAGTCCCTCATTTATTGCAGGTGTTTGTGGCCACGCCCACCCGTGATAAGTGAAAAACAATGAAGTAGAGATACAGTAGTCCAAGTTCAGTTAACTTTGTCATGACATGTGCCAGGCTGCAATCACACTCGTCACCTGCTACTCCCAATCTTCTTCCTTAAATAAACAATTTAAATTTAAATACTGTAACATTTTAAATAAACAATAATTTATTTTAAATGTTGCAGTATTGTAGAGAAGAGAAGTCAAAGGATGTCACACCGTTTCAGCTCTGCAGCACGGAGCAGAAATGTACTTCTTGATCAATTACTGTTCAACAACTGAACATAGAAGTTTTAAAATAATTAAAAAAATAGCTTTTAACACTTATATATATTTTGTGATTATGATGATTTTTACGATGTGACATATTTTGAATTTTAAGTTGGAAGACAAAAGTCGATGGGTGCATCTGGACATCAAAGGGTTAACCCTTTACAAAAACGATGCAGCAGGAGAGAGAATGAGATCAGCTGATCAGCTGCAGGAGGGAGCTTTCCCCTTCACTTGTGGGCTTCATGGTGCAAAATCATTAAAAATAATTTATTTTAAGTAAACAACCCATGGCTCCTCTATCAGACAATTGTGTCATGTCCAATCTTACTTTGAAAAAAACCGCGCTATAGCAAATCTGTGAAAACTGAACTGTGAAGTAGCGAGGGATTACTGTAATAGAAGTTTAAACCTTATTTTCTAGCAGCAAATACAGTTGTGATGTTTTAACGGAGCATGCAGCTGTTCTCCTTTTGTGTCCTAGTTTGTGTTTCCTGCTCGTAACCTTTCTGTTTTGGAAGTCATTTATATGTTTTGTGTAGATTTTTTGTCTTTCTTTTTTTTAGATGAGATAAATCCATTTCCAACCAGAAAGCCTCTCATAAACAGAAACATCTTTACTTTGAGCCGTCTCATCTGCTGAAGGAGTCTGACACCGAGTGGTTAAACGGGACATTACACACTTCCTGCAGAGCATTTGGACCTGTTAGACATTAAACTTGTAACTTTGTTGCCCATTTCCAGTTGCCTCTCCCTCTTTTTCACAATCTGAGGAATTGGGTGGTGCAATAAGGCAGATGTGCTTTTTATTCTATGATTTACAACATTTATCAGGCTTTTATTGGTCTTTTTTCCCAAAACATAGTCCCGTTTGACACCATTTTACAAGGGGCTGCATCCATTTTCAATAAAAGTGGGATTAATTAAAAATATTTAAATCAAATTAATGTTTTTCATATAGTTTATTTTATGTAGATCCTTGTAAGATGAGGGTTTTAAATGGAAAATGGCACCAGTTGCAAAATAAAGTTTTGGCAGCACAAAATTTTGTTTTTTAATAATTTCTCAAATTATCTTTGCTGACCAGAAACTCTTCCTAAATTAATGTATTAATAAAGTTAAGCTCTCAATCATCTGTTTTTCATTATGGAACTGTTAATTCTTGACTATGTAGTTCAAGGTTAGGGCTTATTCCTATAGACCATCTTGTTGAAGTTGCTGTGTGAAGCCGATGATTCTAGATAAACCTAAGCGAACTGGAAATAAAAGCACAAAAAGCAAAAGAAATAAAATAAAACAAAAGAAATGCAGAAACAACTCTTAAAGATGGCAGCTTTCTGAGGTTTAGTGACATTTATTGAGATTACTCTTGGTTTTTATGGTTGAAGTTAGTGATCCAACTCTGTTTTTGTTGTGGATCCCAATTATAGCTGAGACTGAATAAACAAAAAAAGAACCTTTTTATATCATGATTTGCTTTATTTTTAAGATGATGTAATCAGGGACTGCACAGAAAGAGTAGCAGGATCTCACTTATGTGCTGGAGTAAAAATGTTTATCTCCTGTGGTTTCTGCAAAGAAAAACGTTTTGTTTACGTTGAGGCATAAACGACAAAAAACATGAAAAAGTTTCGAGACGGAGCCTCGAATCTGTGCGTCTCTAATAAATATCCGTGTGGCGGTGAAGCATGCGCCTAAACGTTCCTCTTTCTTTCTTTCCTCTGTAAGATCTTCATCACGGTCAACTGTCTGAGCACAGACTTCTCCTCTCAGAAGGGGGTGAAGGGTCTCCCCCTGATGATCCAGATCGACACGTACAGCTACAACAACCGCAGCAACAAGCCGCTGCACCGGGCCTACTCCCAGATCAAGGTCTTCTGTGACAAGGTGACCCTTTACCTCTGTGCTTCTGGTAAAAGCTTCACTTTTAGCTCCTCGGTTCACCTGACTGAGGAAGAGTGCAAATGGAAAGATCCCTTTCTTTCAGAGCTGGTGCACTTGTGTAGATTTTTATGCAGCGTTAACTGTGAGAAAGCTCTTCTGTGTGCTCTCTCATTATAAAGTGTGAAACTACTTCTGCTGCGATATGACGTACATCAAGGTTTTGTATTGTGAGAATGACAAAAGGGTGTCAGCAAAGGTCAAAGGACAGTGGTGAGACCAGTATGGTCTGGAGACAGTGACATTGACAAAAAGACAGGAGAAAGAACTGGAAGTGGCAGAAATGAAGATGAGGTTCTGCTGAGGAGTGACACAGATGGATAAGATTAGGAATGAGATCATCAGAGATACAGCACAGGTTGAACAACTGGGAGATAAAGTTAGAGAGACCAGACTGAGATGGTTTGGACATGTCCAGAGGAGGGACAGTGGGTATACTGGTAGAAGGATGTTAGAAATGCAGCTGCCAGGAAAAAGACAAAGAGGAGATGTATGGATGCAGTTAGAGAGGACGTGGAGGTAGTTGGAGTGAGGACAGAGTGAGATGGAGGAGGTTGACTCACTGTGGTGACCCCTGAAAAGGGAGAAGCTGAAAGAAGAAGAAGATTGTGAAACTCGGCCTTCAAATGTTTATTTTGATAGAAAAGGTAACAACAATCTGGATAGAAGACCTTACATTTTGTTCTACCCGTTTCTACAATTGTTTATAAAAAGAAACATGAGTTGTGTGGAGTTTCAGGAGAAGTTTTATTATTTTTCTCTTACACCTGTTTTCTTTAGGGGTCAAAATAAAGAAAATGAGATTTTAACCTGATGACCTTCATTCAGCAAAACTTTTAAATCAGTTCAGTAATCTAAAACGGGTTCCCAACCCTAGTCCTTGAGGAACACCATCCTGCATGTATTAGTTGTTTCTCAGCTCCGACACGCATGATTTTTAATAAATGGGTGATTTTCAATCTTCTGCAGAACACGAGGAAGTAATTAAATCACTGAATCAGGTGTGTTGGAGCAGGGAAACAACTAAAACATGCAGGATGGTGTTCCTCAAGGACCAGGGCTGGGAACCCCTGATCTAAAGGATTGGTAGGAACTTTGTATGTCACATCATTCTACTGAAAACTGCTGTTGTTCCATGCAGACATGAGCAGTTTTGTTATGACGACTTTGGTAATCTGTGCTTTAAAGTGATGAATGTGACTTTTGAAGATCAGCTGTGGCCACATCCAGTTTGTTAAAGGCGACAATTGAGTCTGATGACACAGTTGAGTCTTTGTTTGCTGTTGGATTGTTAAAAACATCGTCTCGGTGCAGTTTGTTTTAGTGTTTCTTTCTGTTTTTAGCTGCTGAATGTTCGAATTACTCAAAAAGTTTGTCAGAAAATGCAGATTTTGAAAGCAGAATTCCTGACATCAGTCCTCCATCTAGTGGTCAGAAAACACATCACACTTCGTGGTGTTTATTTCTCAAACTTGTTTCATATTTTCTATTATTTTGTCTTTTTTTTCCCACTCAGGGAGCAGAGAGGAAAATCAGGGATGAAGAGAGAAAATTATTGCGCAAGAAGTCAAAAGGTTTGAGACTAGAAAGAAAAAAAAATCACAGCTCTCTTTTGAACCTGGCTGGAAACATTGAGAAAAACAGACTTTGTTGTTGTTTGATGTTCAGGTAAAGAGGGTGGGAACGGGGTGATGAATGTTACCAAAAAGTCCGACGTTACCTGTTTCAAGACCATGACCGACTTGGAGGCCCAGCCAGTTCTGTTCATCCCCGACGTTCACTTTGGTAACCTGCAGAGGGCAGGACAGGTGGGACTCCTGCTAAACCAAAACCTCGTCATCTGTCGGGCGTGTGCCCAAAGATGAACCTGTTTTTCTTAAATTCTCATTAATTTATGTCCTCCTTTGTGTTCAGGTGTTTACCTTCAACACAGAAGAGATTGAGAGAGAAGGGTGAGTGTGCAGCAACAGGAAATGAGTTTTCCATTACTTGAGGTCATATAAATATAAGGCTCCGTGTACAAACCTCCAACCACAACCCCATGATACAAATGAACTCTATGTTTTGTGTTTTTACAGGAGCGTGCTGGTGAAGAGGATGTTCAGGTCATCGGATGAAGACCTGTGTCCATCACCTCACAAACAGATCAAAGAGGAGACGCACAAAAGAGGTATGAGCTCCGTGTGTTTTATTTTTCTGTCTTTTCATCCGCACCGTTTCACACAAATCAGACTTGTGCTACAGATTTTCTACTGATAGCCTCCTTCTTTAAGGTCGTTTTTCTTCTCATCTGAGCATTTTTTTAAAAAGGAGTCATTATTTGGGTAATTCAGGGTAGAAGAAACAGGAAAAAAAACACCTGGAGACAATGCAGATTGAGAAGTTAAAAGCAAGTCTGAATGGTGCTAAAGTGGATTTCTGCCATTTTCAAACAACTTATCTTGAGAATTTTACAGCGGTACGTGCAGACGCTGTTTTATAAACTTTTACATAGTTGTTAAATTGTTATTGCCATCTTTTTTGCATAGATATCCTGATGCATGCTCAATAATCCAGGTAGAAAAATCTAAAAAAGTTAAATCTGGTCCTCTGGACATTAAAAAAAAACAACAAAAAAAAACAAAGCAAATCAACAAAAAA